AATTTAAAATATAACTAAATTAAAATTAGATTAAAAAGAGGAATTATAATAAATAATTAAGAATTTATGATTAATTGAATTATTATTAAATTATGTGTATGTGAGATGAGAGAAAGGGGGGAAAAAAAAGGATGGGGTTAGAGGGTATTATAGCCATTTCACAATTATAGTTAGCGAAGTTAACAATTGTACTTTGGTCCAAAATCATATAGACACTTTCATGATATTTGAATCATAGAGGAATAAAGTGCTCATGGCTTAAACCACAAATGAGTAAAATGAATTATTTTCTTAAAATATTTAAAACAATTATTCAAAAAAAAAATTATTATTTAAATAAATATCCATTTGTAGTAGAGGAGTCAAAACTCCAATTTTGATATTAAATTTTAACTTAAGGATTAAAAATGTAAACCATAAGATAAGGTAAAGAAATCAATGTAAACTATAAATATAAGTGCTATCTAAACCAAGAGAAGAAAAAAAGAAAATATAATTATGGCAAAGAAAAAAAATACTTTAAAAGAAAATTAACACCATTGAAAAATCGTAATTGTTTTTAGAGATAGGGGTGTTGTGTAGCATAATATTTGTCAAAAATAAGTATTGGTCGTGGTAAAATAAGATAGAATAACTAAAATTAATTAATACATAACTATAAGACTGTGTTTAGATCTTTTCAAAATCTATTTAATGGTTATACTCTTAAATTTTTTTATTTTTTATTTTTTTAGAAATAGAAAAAGACTCAAATGGACTATAGATTATTATTATTATTTTTTATGAGAAATGTAGACAAACAAAAAATAAAAATTAATTGAAAAAGCTATTTCACAGCTTATTTAACAAACACTACTCAGCAACTTAAATCTATAATCCAACAGTTACACCAAACAGATTAACAACTTCTAATTAAAGTCATAATCTATAATCTGTTAAGCTATAATCTATAAGTTGTTTTAACAGCTACACCAAACGGGGCCTTAGGACTCTTTCTTTTGTTGTAACTAAATAATAACTTGAAAAGATGTAAGCCCGTAGAGCATTTATTTTGTTGTTGTTAATCTACTATTACATGCTATAGATTCAGGATGAACATTTATGAATGTATGATGCATGTAATACACCTTTTGTAATATAGACTTTGATGAATGAAGTATACCATTTTATTATGTTCATAGATCTTATGGAATGAATTAATTGTATTATATTTTGGGGACGTTACACTTCCTGTGTGCTCATGACAATCAATGATTGGGTTAGATTTGAATTTGATTGCAATTCGGGAATTTGACCCGCTTTCACACAAAATCTGCTGATTTGTGCGCGAGTTCACAGTCCGCCATCCATGATACCCAATTAAATGACCCTTACAAGGCATTTTTTAGGGTAAAAATGTAAAATCCTTTTTCTTTTCTATTTTTTTACTGTATTTTTGGGTTTAGAAAATATAATAGAGAGAAAATACTGTGAAAAAATAGAGAATAAGTAGAAAATGGAAGAAAATTTCATTTTGCCCTAAAAAATGCTTCATGTGAGGGTCACATGATAATTTTCGTTACGCAATTCAACAATAAACTAATGGAATGGTCAAATTGCAACTTGATTGAGAGTGCAAGAAAATTAAAAAATGAGGGACTAAAATGGAGTCTGATGTAAAGTGTAAGGGTAGAATGTGTAATTTACCTATAAAAAATTGTTGTTTTGTTTAGTAATCAACCAACTAAAACCCAATCCCTTGCCACATTAGTGTGTATAAATTTAGAGAATTTAGGGGTTATGTTTTAGTGGTCTCTAACATTGCTCTTGTTGGTAGTACCACCTTACGGTCTCTACCGATTGTTGTTGTGGTATTCACTTTGAACTATGTCTTGGTATTTGTTCTTAACAGAGTGAATTTGATGCCTTGCGCAGTACAACTCCGTGCTCACAAAATCTTACATCATCTCTTTACTGTTTCTTATTAACTATAATGGTTTTTGTTGATTAAAATTAATTGTATTATAGCCCCTGCCATTTATAAACAGTGAAATTGTTGGGGCATTCATAGCCTTGGTGTTTAAAATGTTTCAGGCAAACAAAAAGACCACCTCTCGTGGGGAGCAGGATCTAGTATTAGAAAACAGGTAAATGTATTCCTTCCATTAGAAACATAAAAATACATTTCCGCTACAAAGTTTCTGGTTTTTATATCGCATTTCATGCTGTGCTTTTCAGGTTTCTTCTAGAACATTGTATGTTTTATCTTTGCCAACAGTTTCCAGTTCATTCCTTCATCTCTTGTGTTTCATTGAGTGATCTTCCATTTCTTGCTTTTGCAAATAACTTGTGAATCATAAATACCCCTTTTGCACTGCAATTCCTGTCAACATTTACTAAATGGTGTGTTTGCTTCTCTTATTCTTTTATTTATGCTATTTTATTTATTTATTTATTTTTGTTCTTAGGCAAGAACAAAAGGGGTTAGGTTTAGAAACAAAAAAATGATCGAAGTATGTGAAAACTCCGAATAAATGTTTCATTGAATTTTGGATTGCAATAGAAAACCGAAATATTGATCTTAAATGAACAATCATCAAATGAATATGAGGCTACAAACACGTCAATCATTTATAGAAAATTAATATAGATCCCACTGTTTTAGAACAAATTATTCTATTAATCTTTTTTAAAGTTCTCTGTAACTAGGTGTGGTCGTGTTCGTATCGTGTTGGGTCGTGGTTGTGGTCGTGTTCGTGTCATGTTGTTCATGTCAGAATTAGCTCAACACTAACCCAACCTGTTTATTATTTCGTGTTATCGTATTGTATCGTGTTGTGTCATTTTCGGTCCGTGTCCAGCTAGTGTCGTGTTAACTTGTCATGTCAAAAAATTTCACTATTAACTAAAAATTTCAAATGTATGAAAAAAATTTGAAAATTTCTTTACGAGTTAAATTTAATGAAAATAATCTTTATTAAATGAAATTATTTATAAAAATATTTGATTTCAACTTAATTTCATTTTCTTAATTTATAAAAATTATATTTTATTATTATATTTTTTTACTATGACTCAGATAATAGACAAAAAATACATTAAGTTCAATTAAAAGTAAAAACAAAACCTATATTAAGCTTAACATTGTATTTTACATACTTCTTAATAAATTGTATGTAATTATATAAGAGATTAAAAAATGTCATGATATTTTTTAGTGGAAATAATATTAAAATGTGTAACTAATTTTTCATTATATGGGTTATTCATGTCAATTTCATATTATAAAGATTTGACACTAACCCAACTTGTTTAGTATTCGTGTTATCAGGTTGTGTCATATACATGTTCCTGTCAAGAAATGGTCAACCCTAACCCACTAATTTCGTGTACGTTTGAGTTGTGTTATCGAGTCGTGTCGCAAATTCCCACTCTTATCTATAACCATGAGAAATGCAAACATTACGTATACAAATAAAGAAAAGGGAAATGAAAGCATATTTGTGTTTAGAATGGTCATCTTTGGCATTGTCCTTTCATTTTTTGTTTTTCTAGTTTCAAACGTGCTTAGAGCTACACGGAGCTACAAGCATATTTATGTTTAGAATGGTCACCTTCTGCTGCTTTAATTGTACCCACTTTAATATTTTAATAAATACTGAGCTTGTTGATTTTTTGTTCACAACTTTTACAACTTTAAACATGCTTAGAGCTACAAGGAGTTTTTTGAAAAAAAAAATCTTCATAGAATCAATGATGCAAAGATTAAAAACTTCACATATCTACCTAGTTTAGAATTTAGTTAAGTTCCATTTTGGTCGCTTGTAATTTCGGAATGTTTGAAAGCTTCATGTCATGCAAGTGGTTGAATTGATTTAGGTGTCTATGTGCTTTACATGTCAGCTTAAAAAGCATGGACATGATATAGGCATGTGACTTGACACAGACACACTAACATGCCGATTTTCAAAAAATGTAAGGCACGAAACACTAGGGACACGTAAAATATATTTGATATGTTTATTTTATGTCATATTAATATTTTATTAAAAAATAATGAAAAATGTAATATAATACTAATTAAAGACGACACAATAAAACATACATCATTTAAGAAATTAGCAAAAGCATATTAAACAAAGAAATTAAGGCCATGCAATTAAGCAATTATTAAGTATAAGCAAATTAGGCAAACTGCATAGAGTTTTTAAGCAAACTAGGAATATGCTAGTAAGCAATTATGCGTAAATCATAAGCAATTTAGGTATATGCAATCAAGCAAATTAGCATAAGCGGTTACCCACAATAAACTGAGAAAAGAAAACCCTAATTTTTTTTCTCTCTTTTGTAACTCCTAATTGCATATCTCCTTATCAAACCTTCTCCCTTCAATAGTACTGGCCTTCGAGAGAGAACTTCTCATCTCTCTCTCTCTCTGCTTCTAGGGCTTATTGTTCAAATAGAATCTCACCTTCAATTTTTGGATATTTGTAATAATTTGTTTGTTACATCCCCTATAAAAAGCGACAATATAGTGCGTGTTGGATAGGTGTTACTCGCGTGTTGGTGCAGTGAGATATTATATTTTGGGTTGGTTTGTAATAGTTCGTTACATACAATTTGTCTTTGCGAAATGTTTGATGATAAGTTGCATGCTATTAGTATTCGATTGGATGGTACCAATTATTCATACAGGTCCAGTGCGACGAAGAATTTTTTTAGTTGGCAAGGGTATATGGGGGTATATTGTGGGTGTAACTATTTGACCTATTGAATCAAAGGAAACTGAAGTTGAGGTAGCAAAATGGGACAAGGAAAATGCTCAAATTCTCACATGGTTTCATAATTCTGTTCAACCAAGCATAAGCATGAATTTTTCTAAGTATACTACAACAAAGAAAGTATGGGATTATTTAAAAAATATGTATCTTGAATCCAACTTTGCCAAATAGTATGAGCTTTAGATGCCCATCCATAGTTCTACACAATGCGATAAGTCAATTCAGTTGTTCTATAATGAAATTACCACCTACTGGGTTCAACTAGCTCTCATTGAACCCTCTGATTTGCAATCGCTTGATAGCTATCTGAAGTATAGAGAGAAACAACTTGCCTAGTTTTTGATGGCTCTTTGAGATCTGTTTGAGCCATTTCGTGGGGTTATTCTTCATCATGGCCCTTTGCTGTCTGTGGATGGTGCTATTCGGGAACTTATTGCCGAAGAAACTAGATTCAAAGTTGCCCGTGTTGCTTCTCCATATCGGACTATGTTTGCTACTCCGCCACTATCACATACTCCTACATCTCAGTTGGATTAGATCACTGGCAAGACTAAACCTTGCATTCCTATGGATGAGTGCACTTTTTGTTATCAAAAGGGGCATTGGAAGCATGCATGTCCTAAGCTTTTGTAACCCAAAGGTTGCAGTTTGTCTCACTCATCCTCTCGCCAACCACTGCAACTTTCTTGCTCTTCAATAGATCTGGCCGCACCAGTCTTCGGTTTCACTCCCTCTCCGACCATGCAGTCCATGATTGAGCAGTTTCAATCATTCATGTTGGCCAACCAATGTCTATCTTTTTAAGCTTATTCTATAGCCACCACTTAGTCAGGTTTGCCAAATTCTTTTGCTTCAAGCACTCTACCTCCCACATGGATCTTTGGCTCTAGGTGTTCTCACTGTATGACTCATAATGTCTCTATTCTTCGTCATGGTATTTGGCCACCTACACCTATTACTAGTGCCACTGCTAATGGTTCCCCTATGCCTGTTATTTCTATTGGTTCTACCTCTTCTCCTCACATCTCTTTCTCTCTCTCTCTCTAGTATCCCTTATGTTCTTCAATTATCTCTTAGTCTCTTTTCTATTAGTCAACTATCTAATTCGGGTTTGATGTTTACTTTTCTTCTGGTTGTGCTGTGTAGGATCAGGTGTCCTGGAGGCAGATTGGGATTGGGCGTAGGGTTGGTGAACTATATGTCTTGGAGAGACTGCATAACCCTTTGGATTCTACCTCCATTGCCGTGTCTTGTTTTTGTTTAAATTTTGCTTCTTCCCCTTTTTATCTTTGGTATTCTAGATTAGGACATTTATCTAGGATCGTTTAAAACTTTTAGTACAATCTGGTTGTTAAAGTAATATTTCAATTAGTGATATTTCTGAATGCAATGGTTGTAAGTTTGCGAAAATGTAAATTTTTCCTTTTAACAACAGTACTTCTATATCATCTACTCCCTTTCAATTGGTTCATACTGATTTGTTGGGGCCTTTCCCTATTGTTACCAAGGGTGGTTCTTAGTATTATGTCTTATTTATTGATGATTATAGTAGGTTTACCTAGGTCTACTTAATGGCACGAAAATCAAATTTTTATAAAATCTATTGTAATTTTCACTCTATGGTTCAGACATAGTTCTCTACTACCATCAAAATTCTTTGTTCTAGCTTTGGTGGAGGGGATGGGTGGAGGAGTATTTTCATATTTTCTATCCGACTTTACTGAGTTCTCAGCTAAACATGGGACCATCCATTAGTCTTCTTGTTCTGATACTACTGCCCAAAATGACAGAGCTAAACGGAAATATCGTCATCTTCTTGACACAACTCGTTCACTTATTCTTTCCTCGCCTATACCTTCTATGTTTTGGGGGGAATTTGTGCTTACTACTGCGTATTATACTTAATCAGATGCCTACTCTTCTCTGGTGCTTCCCCTTATGAGCGTCTCTTTTGTGAGATTCCTAATTACTCTCCTCTGTGTGTTTGGATCCGCTTATTTTGTTCTCCTTCCCTATTGCGATCGGTTGAAGCTTAGTGCTTGGTGTTTCTTATGTGTCTTTTTAGGGTATGGTATTCATCAAAAGGGTTACTGCTTTTATGACCATGTGACTTGCAAACTCTGTGTCAATGTGTCACTTTCTTAGAAAAATTGCCCTACTTCACTCTTCTGTCTAGGTCTGCTTCCCTTACTAAAGATGAATTGGTTCATATTGATTCTTTTCCCCTTGATGTCCCCCATGATGAGTTTGTCTCAACTCTCAAGTCTCTACCTCTCGCTCCTCTTGCTCCTTCCTTGTCTCCTTTTCTTGTTTACAACGTCATCAAGCACCTTCCACTTCTATTCCTTCTAATTTTGCCGCTTCTTCCACTGCACCTTTGGACTTTGACCTACTTGCACATCAGTACCCTTCTCAGGATCGCCATATGCCGGTAAGACTTGGTTTTTCTAATACATATTTCTTTTGTTCTTATTGTTCCTTTCTTTCTTGTCTCCATACTTACTTTGAGCCCAAGTCTAATAAAGAAGTTTGTCATGATCCTAATTGGGTCGTTGCTATGAATGGTGAGTTAACTACTCTTGACAAGACTCAGAATTAGGAGTTGGTTTCTCTGCTTGCCGGCAAAAATCTTATTGGTTGCAAATGGGTGTACAAAAGTTAAGACACATTCTAATGGGTCTTGGGAACAGTACAAAGCTCACTTAGTGGCTAAGGGTTTTTCTTAGGAGTATGGGATTGACTAGGAAGAAACTTTTGCTCTTGTTGGTAAGATGACCACTTCCCATACACTTATCTTTGTGTCTACTATGTCTCAATGGCCTTTCTTTCAGTTAGATGTCAAGAATGCATTCCTCAATGGCTATTTTGTTGGGGAAGTTTATATGAGGGCACCTTCTGGCCTTTTTCATTCCCCTGGCCTTGTGTGTTGTTTTCGTCAGGCTCTCTATGGTCTCAAGTAGGCTTCTCGAGCTTGGTATGAGCATTTTTGCTCTGTTGCCTTTAAGTTTGGTTTCTATCCTAGCACATATGATTTTTCTCTCTTTGCTTGTCGCACTTCTACTAGTGTTGTTCTTCTCTTACTATATATGTTTGATATGATCATTACCGAGTCTGCCTTACATGCTATTTAGGATGTCAAACGACAGTTCTTCTCTGAATTTGAGATGAAAGACTTGGGTCCTTTTCGGTATTTTCTTGGCATTGAGGTGGCCTCCTCTCCTATGGGTTACCTTTAGTCCCAAACTAAGTATGCTAGTGACATCCTCTCTTGGGCTCATCTCACTGATGACAACGTTGTTGATACTCCTATTGAATTGCATGTTAAGTTTTTTGCTTCTAATGGTGTGCCCCTTGATGATCCCACCCCTTATCACGAGCTTGTTAATTGTTTAGTTTACCTCACTGTGACCCACCCCTATATTTCCTATGCTGTTCACATTCTTAGGTAGTATGTTTTCAGCTCTCCGTTCTACGCACTAGGATGATCTCTTATGTGTAGTGTGCTACATTCATGGTACAATGTTCCAATGTTTACTGCACCCTTGCTCCTCCAATTTCACGTAATGATAGCGGCGGTAGGCACTACCCCTGATACTTGCTTTTGCGGTGTGACGGAAATTCACACATGTAACGGCCGTTTTGATATTACGTAATGGCCGTAGCGGTATTGTAACGGCCGTAATGGTCTGTTAGACACCGTTACACACATTTACAATATTCTAAAAAACTTCCTTTCAAAAAAAAAAAAAAAAAAAAGCTTACAAATTGTACACTATACATATTTTGCAATATTCAATAGCTCAAAAATAATTTTTGTTTATGTCTTAATTTTTATTTTTATAATCATTTTATTTAATAATTGTAAATGTTTTTTATTTAGTTAGTTTAGGTATTGGTCAAAATTTTTTTGTGGACATTTAAAATCAATTATTCTTAAAAAATAAATAAAAATAAGAGGTACAATATGGATTTGACATATAAAGTCATTAATTATTGAAATAAAATGTAAAAAGTTCCTTTTATAGTTATTTAAAAATATGAAATATATTGGATCATACTTAAAAAATAACAAAAATTGATCAAAATCTATTTTAAATCCCAATAAATATGATTCTGAAAAAAAAAAAAAATGCGTATTGGGTAAGTTTTTTTCAAATTGTGTGAAAAATAAAAAAATTTACAGTTTCGGATATTGCAACCGTTACGGATACTGCAACCGTTACGGATACTGCAACCGTTACGGATACTGCAACCGTTACGGATACTGCAACCGTTACGGATACTGCAACCGTTACGGATACTGCAACCGTTACGGATACTGCAACCGTTACGGATACTGCAACCGTTACGGATACTGCAACCGTTACGGATACTGCAACCGTTACGGATACTGCAACCGTTACACTACGGCCTTTACACCCTGCAATCGCAACCACACCACCACAACCGTTACGGCAATTACAACCGCTTTTTGAAACGCTGTTTATGAGGGATAAAAAATAAAAGAAAAATTGTACTAGAGTATTTTAGTTAAGATTAATGAGATGTTTGGTTATATTTCATGTGTGGTGGTGTTTAAATTTAATTATATATGACTTATGTTTTTTTGGTTATGAACTTATGACTAAAAAAGTATGAAATTATTTAATTTTCTTCTTTTGAAATGAGTAACTAATAAATTTAATTAAACTAATTAATGTTACCGACTGACTGGCGAATGTGATACAAAAATTAGCTTCTTCTGATAAAAGTTTTTTTTTGCACAATTGCAATTGCCACTTAGGGATGGGATTCAAAATTAATTGAGAGAGTTAAGAGTTTAGAGAGATTGAGAGTTTGAGAGAGAGAGACTTGTTTGTGAGAAATAAAATGGGAGAGGGGGAATATTTGTAGGGGTTTGGGAGGATGGGGTAAATTTGTAAATCAAATTTTTTTTTCCGGGGCTGTTGTGTTAAATAGTCATGTGACCGTTTGACTTAATTTTTTATTTTTATTTTTATTTTTACGGTTAGTTTGCAGCAATATGAAGTAGTAATAATAGACGAGAAGAATAGGGTGGGCGGGTGGGCTGCTGGGCTAATGGGCCGGGCCAGGCTTCAAAATGACAGCCTAGGGTTTCGGGCTAGGCTCGGGCCTAACTGGGTAAGCCCACCCACGGGCCTCGGGCCATTTTTACACCCCTAGGCTGGGATATCTCTGATCGCAAGTCTACTTATAGATTTTTTTTTTCTTTTCTTTTTCTTGGGGATTTTCTTATCTCTTGGAAAAACAAGAAACAAACTATTATTGCTAATTTTACAGCTGAATTTGAGTATGGTGCGATGGCTCATGCTACTTCTAAGATAGTGTGGCTTCGCTAGCTTCTTTTGCATATGGGTGTTTCTCCTTTGATTAAAAAATATATAGATTTGCTTGCTTGCAACAAGGTTTGAACTATGAATCTCAATAATGGAATCACCAGACTCCCATCTAGACTAGACACCCCAATGTGTTATAAATGATTCCATTCATCTGTTTAATCTCTTTCCATGCAGATTCCAATTTCCTTCATTTAGGAGCATTTCTCCATTAAACTTCAAGAATACCTAAAAACATAAAAATAAACATAATAAGATAAAATAATATATAAAATAGGTCTAACAAAGAATAAATTAAGGCTATAAAATATGCATTGTAATGGATGCATCAGAATATATTGTCTTAAGTCAGTACTAGAGAGAAAGGGAGAGGATTTCTCCAATCATTCTAGATGCTTCTAGAAATATGATGTCACTTGGACAACATTGCATATTTTCCACCAATGGATCTGATCTACTTACAGTCTCCCATTATTTTGTATAGCGTTCTCAATCAAGTAGTTATTTAGGAGACCACCTTCTTTCTTTTATTTTTTTTCCCTTTTCATTTAATATTTACTTTGTAATGAATCATATCCATTGTAGTGTACTGAGCTTATTTAATCATTATAGCTTATTTGTCATGTTGTGACTTGTTGCAGGAAATCATCTACCAAACTACCTGGCACTACAAATAGTAAGTTGTTCAAATTATTATTGTTATTATTATTATTATTATTTTTTTTGGGTGAATAATTGTTATTAATTTTTTAAAATGTGGAACATTGTTTTTATATATATATATATATATCAAGGGCATGTAGTTACTGGAGTTATTTGATGGGACTTAAGGCTTGGTTTGGTTTATATAAGTTAGGTCCCTGTTGGAATATGCTTGCAAATATAGCCCAAAACAAAGGGGTATTTTCATTAACATTTTCATCCCAAAATTTGCTGCATATTAACACATCTAGATGGTGATACAATTCTACGTTGGTGGAAGAAGCCTTTTTACGGTGTAAACTGAGCAAGAGGAGTAAAGCTTTATAATTTCTATTTCAACAATTGGTGAAGGCGTTAAAGTTTAATTTTGGTTTTATTATCTTATCAAAGAAAAATCGAAATGACTTACGAATGGCATTAGAAATGTCTGTTTAATGGTGTATGCATTAATGAAGCATGGGTACGGAGACGAGTATTGGTACTGGTACGATACGAGTACGTCGATACGTTAAAATCTAAAAAAAATAGGGTACGGGTACGGCTTGATATGCTCGTAAAAAAATATTTATTTTTAATTTAGAGTAATGCAAAAAATTAATTAAATGGTTTAATTTGTTAAGATCCAACCTGCAATGTAGTGTCAAAAGTAAAGGTATAAATTAAAATCAAATGTCAATATATTAAATAACTTACAAACAAGAGTTTAATTTTAAAAACATGCTAAGCATAACTAAAAATAAAAAAGAAGTCTAGTAAAAGAAGTTTATCTCTGTAATAGAAGAAAATATTGTTTCAACTGAGGTACGGTATGATGGGTATATAGTAGGTACGTTTGGGTGGCCAAAAATTAAAATGAAAAAATTTAGATACGTGTTTCACGTAAATGGTACGTATGCAAAAGTACCACACGAGGTACCATATGCCGGTAAGTACCCGGTACGGGTATGGCATGTTTTTCGAAGTACCCATGTTAGGCATTGGCTTTGGGAGTTCTAACGTTTCTTTGTGCACTTTGTTTCTTTCCAGTTGGAGTGTCTTTGTACTGTTTGGTAGATTCAGGGGAGGAATGGGTAGTGAGGTTCTAATCTTTACTACTACAATTTATTTTTGCCTGGTTTTACCAATGTCTGGCATTTTGGGTCGTGTTTTCTTAAGTTTGTGGCTGACAGTTTCACTTCACCTGATTTTAGTTTTGTAGCCTCAGTTACTAGCTGTGGTTACCAGGTTAAGCCAAGGTTATGCCTGTAGTTTCCAGGACCGTAACAATTTAGCATGTCTGTTTAACTAATATATCGCTATTTATTTTTGTAATTTTATAGGATTGAACTTTCATAATTTTATAGAATTTGCTACCTATGTTTGTCTTCTGGTTTCCGTTGCATTATTACCAGAATGGATTTTTTTTTCTAATAGGGGCGCCTGGGTTGAGTTTTCGAACTGATGGAAAATCAAGCAATATTGCCATGGATCTGCAGTTTGAGGAACGTGTGGAAGCAGTTAAAAGGTGTTACATTTTGACCACTTCTCCATATACCACATGCTTATGGGAAGCATTTTCATATGGTTGATAAAATGGTTTTAGAGTAGCATTATCTCTTTGTATTTTGTTTTATACACATTCCTGTGATTTTACAATTTATACTTCATATTGCTGTGCGTATACATATAAGAGGATTAACTAATGATTTAAATGACCCTACTCTCCTTTCTTATTCCCTATATTCGTTTAGGATTATGATGATGGTTAATTCTGTTAATTGTCATATGAAGTCACAATTTCCATTTGAAGAATAATTGGGAGCAGGATCTTGATTTCATTTGAAGAGAAAATGAGAAACAAAAAAATTTTATGCTCTATAAATTGATTTCATTGGGTCGATACAATTGTTGGGAATAATTGTGTCATTTCTGCAATTTTTTTTTTTTTTTTTTTTTCCTTCGGTCTTGTTTGTCACTAATCACTATACATCCTTTTCAACTCCAGAATCTTGTACGTGGTTCTCAGAAAGTTTTGTACTCTGATCAATGGTCTCAGCCATCTAGGTAATATGGATGAACTATGGCTGGCCTAGATTGGAATAATTAGTTAAAAAAAGAAATGCATATGCTTTTGGCAAACCGATTTTGGCTAAATAATCAGATGCTACCTTTTGGCGATCTAATTCATTTGTTAGAACAAGTTATATTAACTAGTGTGAGACCTTAAGAGGCTTATTATTATTATTTTGTTCTCTAGGAGTAAAAATATGTTTCTTAGGCAGAAGTCATTTTGAAGATGTATTTTGGCATGGGCATGTAGTCAATTTATTGATAGATTTTCTTGGTATGTGTAGACACAAATTTCGAAACGTGAAATGTTTTGACACATTTTGAAATTCATGTTATGAACATCCATTGTTTAGTTTTTGACTAAACAGTTTTGATTATTTGATAGCTGGCTCCTATTTCGGATTTGGATTCTAGATTGTTAATTACACACTTTAAACAAGTGATACCTCCAATTAATGAAGAACAAAAAATTTAATGAAGGAAAATTTAAACAGAAGAACTATTTTATTGAAATTTTGGAAGTTTTATAACCCACGGATACACTAACTACAATTGTTGGGTTTGAAACCTTTTACCTATAGTTTGCCATTGTATTGTGTGCTTGCTCCTCCAGAATGGCTGGTAATACCACTTAAGGGCGGATAGACCGTCCACCCAGTGTCGCTACCCACTTTTACTAAGGTTGAGCTTAATGAGTGTTGGGTACCAAAGCTTGTTACGCTTCACAATTAGCTTTTGAAGTCTCAGCCTCTCTTCTTTCTTTGATTGCTTCTTCAATCTCTGTTCCTTTCTTTTTCTCTTGTAGTTTTCGATCTTTGATTCCTAATCCCCCTCTTGCGTGATGGTTCTCATATTTTGGAGGGCCATCTATGTGATAAGAGAATCTTATCTTCATTTTGAATTTCAAATTGTATGATAACGTTGTAATGTTATCATAACAAATTTAATTGATCGTGTTGCCCAGACTTTATCCCCTGTAGTTTCCTTACTTTAGGCTCTACAGGTGTCATTTTTTGGTTGAGTGTACTGTCTTTCATTTTTTGGTTGAGTGTACTGTCTTTCGAGTTGTGTAGGCTCCACGTGTCGCTTGAAGATCTTAAGTAACGTGGCTTAAGGGGTCGTTTGGCATTGGCTAATATAGCCAACTTTTTTAGCCTCGTTTGGTTTTTGTTTTGGGACTTTTTTGACTTTTGTGAGAGAAAAAATGTAATGACTATGGGTAAAAAGTGATATTTTGTCTTATTGACTTATATAGCTTATTTTGTCTTTTTGTGCTTTTTTAGTCTCAAAATCTTAGCCAAACGAGCACTTAATATGATGCTATTATACCCAATTATGTACTTCAACAGATCATATTGATCCTTTGTAGAGGTGCTATCCTACAGCGTTTCCACCATAGGCTCTATATGTGCTGCCTTTTGATTGAACCTGTCTTCTTCTTGGTAGACTCCACGTGTAATTTTCTTGGAAAGACTTTAAATTTTAGAGTCTCATCATCCCATTTAATCCAGATCCTTATCATATAGGGGGATTTAGGTGTAAGTCCTAATGGGTGGACTTATTGTCTAATAGGTCCTGTGAGAATTAATGACATTTTTCATCAAACATTATTAAAAAACCTCACTAATTGTTAGTTTCAGTGATAGTTTGAAAATTGTCACAAAAAATGTTACTATTTGTGAGTTTTAGCGACAGTTTAAAAAAATCGTTACAAAAAAGTCTAATTTTCGACTTTCAACTATAATTTGAAAAATTCGTCATAGAAAACGTCACTAATTGTAAGTTTTAGCGACATTTTATAAAAACCGTGACAAAAGTCACTATTTGTCAATTTTTAGCAACTTACGCAAAAAATCGTCATAAAAAAATATTTTTAGTGACAATTTTATTAGGACTTATGTGCAATAAAACTTGATGGGAATTAAGTCCAACTATTATGACCTATTGGTGGTTTACTCTATCATAAATTTGGTTGAAATTTTTGTGCCAACAGTATGTAATGAATTAGTTGAAAAATCTGAATGATCAGGAAGAAGCAGCTGATTGTTTTGAAAACTTTTGAGATTCATCGTGCACTTGGGGGACTGTCCATAGGGCTAGTAATGTAGTCATCACTCCGTTAGGTTAGATATATTGTTCATTTTTTTTCTAATTTTTAATTTTGAAAATTATTATTATTATTTTATTTATATTTATTTCTATAGGCTTTTAGCTACGGGCAGAGTTCTAGTTTCCTTCAAAAGAGTTTGTGTGCATATTTCATTTATTGAGTATAATTTGTTTTTTTTAATACCAATATTATTTAGTCTATGGAAGTTTTTAGACAGTACTTGCCCCATCAACTATACTGTCATATACCATCTTTGGAGTCACAAAAAGTTTTCTTAATAGCATGCACCCCCTTTGCAGCCTAAAGTATCCACCCATGTTACATGTACTCGGGTACCGGTGTTGGGTACGAGTATGTATCTAGAGATTGGACTCATCAAAGCATAAATTTAAGGGTATGCAAACTTTGCAAAAAAAATTATATTTTTACATTTTTAATCAAGTATGTGAGAGAAAATGGTGCCATGTAACTTAGAGTGCCTAAAAGACATTTATAACAATTATACAACAATATGTACATATAATAATAGTCTTTTATATAATTATATAAGAAGTATCATTGAAAAGTATCCGACAGATATCCCATATCTTTGTCCGAGTGTCGAGTGTCTAACACGAGTATTTGATTTATTTTGAAGAGTCCGTGTAACATAGGTATCCACTACATTACTTAGCTTCACTAGAATTCCAAAAGACAAAGGAGTAATCAAAACAACTCCCTGGCGAAGGAATTCTCAATTATGTCTTGGAGTCTTGCTTTGTTTTTTCAAAAACTTTTGGAAGTGTTTGCACTTCTACCATACCACTATCATTCATAGTATCGCAGAACAAAAGTCGAATTGTACTCATCAGTTATAATTAGCTAGTTAATGTTTCAATTATTTGAGGGTTTTTAATTTTTTTATGCATTTATTTCATGACTTTTAGCTCTTCTGTACACTCCTCAGGTCTGCACTTGAGCAGAAAAAGATTGATGAAAGTAAAGAATACAGAGCAATTGACTATGATGCGCCAGTTGAATCAGACCCTAGTACAATTGGACTTAGTACTAAGGTAACGTTTCTGGATTGAGCTGATGCGCTTCAATACCATTACTGCAAGGTGAGAACGATCTTCATATAGGTTTCACTAATTGAAACTTTGGCATGCAATAGATTGGAATAGGAGGTGCTATTGTAGTCTTCGGGTTGGTTTTCGCTCTTGGAGATTTTCTGCCGACAGGAAGGTATGGTATGTAAAATGCAGTTGACACTTATTTTTGTTTGTTTTGTTTTGTTTTGTTTTGTTTTTTTTGATTCGCTAGGACTGCTTAACGCACTGGATTTCCTTTGTTATTTTCATGGACATAAATACAAGGACAAAATGGTTCCCTCCATTTCTACTTTCTTTCTTCTTCTTCTACATTTTTTTTTTCTTTTTCTGTAATCTGTGCCTTACTTGAGCGAGGACTGTTTTTATTATTGTAGGAGTTTGCAAGCCCATTAGTGTTAGATTGAATATAGGCACTGAAAAGTGGCATGGTTTTAGATCTCTTCTTTGCAAAAAAATTCCTTGGATGAAGCAATTTAATTTATTTATGAGTCCGACTATGGACCATGGATTTCATTTATGTTGATCATGAATATTGATTTCCATGTTATAGCGATAGTCCCATTGAGGAGGCCACGATTGTCAATAGTAAACGCTCAGAAGAAGAGAGAACAAATCTTCAGGTAAAAAATTGTTCAAAATACCTTACAAAATATTTACTTTTGTAAAGCTTTGAAGTTTAGAAGTATCTATTTTTTATCAAAAGATGGTTTGTTGCTGCAGAAACATTAGAAACTACTGACTTGCATTGTTCAATTTTTTTTTTGGTTACACCATTATCATGGAGTTCCCAAGCTGCTTGCAGCTATCATCCGTAGTAAACAATTTTTCGTCTTAATGCATTCTTCTTCTGATCTACTTTTTTATTTTTTGGGGAAGAAAACATTGCAGCATTTTGTGCAATTCCACTTTGTAAGGCTTTCCTTTGTATGCGGCTAAAAAATTTGGACATTTCTAAGTTACCTTGTACGTGTCAGACACCAACTCGTCAGAAATTCCATGAAACACGTTGGACACGCACGTCCAAACATGTCTTATTTTTTATTTTTATTTTTTTTAAAAACTAGACACACTTTGGATACCGTGTCCCACATGTACGGACACATTACAAGTTTGAAGAAATTAATGTGGGAGCTAATGATTAAAATAAAAACAATGTGGATGTAATAACTAGTAACACCCCCTCTAGGGTTTTTAATTGTGAATCTGAAGCCTAAAACATCCAACTTGTTTTCGAATAGATCTATTTAAAGTAGATATTAGGATTTCTTGTTCACACTGTTGGCACATAAATTTCAATCAAATTTATGTTAAGATTTTAAATACGGTCAATCAGTCAATGACATCTATAGAACCTATGATATGAATGTCGTAGGTAATCACTTCTTAAAATGATCAATATGATCCGCTGTAGTGCGTAAATAAAACGTCATACCTCAGTGACGTTATTCAAGATATTCAAACTCGTGGGGCCTACGAAAGATGACACCTATAGGGTCTACAGTAAGGACACCACACAAGATGAAATCCAAATGATTAATTAGATATGATTACGCCTAAGTTCAAATAAACAAATACCCCACGTGTTCATAAAATCAGATAGATAGTTAATCAGATAGACGATTAATCAGATATGATTACGTCTAAATGCAAATGGCGTTGTCATTCAATTTGAAATTCAAACTGAAGATGAGGCACTCTTATTACATAGATGGCCCTCTATAAATATGAGGACCAGCACATAAGAGAGGTGACTGGAAAATTATAAGTCAGAAGATTAGAGAGAGAGAGAGAGAGAGAGAGAGAGAGAGAACTCCATAGCGTAAGCTACAAATGCATAATGGCGATCAATAGGTAAATGGTTCCAAGCCCAAGAATGTACTTTGTATTCAAGGGTTTAAAACCCACAACAATTTTATTAAAAATATTTCTTTTCCTTAAATGTGTAATTAACAATCAGAAATAGGAACCTACTATTCACATAATCAACATTGTTTGGTTTAAAAAACTAAATAATGGATATTTGTAACATGAACTTTGAAACGCGTCGAAACATTTCACGTTTCGAAATTTGTGTCTACACACTTATTTTTCCAAATTCCGATATAGATAGTGTATTTGTAATGTCAAAATTTGATAAATTGTTTTTTTTCTTGTACATATATAAATATATATATTTATTTATTGTTCTGTGAGAAGTGTGTAGTTTAGTCTTATGTTATTTATTCTATTAGTTGAGGGTAGTTTAGTCTTGTTTAATGTAATTAGGCACTTTGGGTTTTCTGATTTGCTATTTAATTTTTATCTTCTTTTCTTATTTAGATTATCAATAATATAATATTTGTACATACTTTGTATCATGGTGTCAGAGCAGGTCCAGTAATCCTAGCTGCCGTTCATGTTCCGACGAACTGCCGGAGGCTTGCTTTCGCACTTCGCTCTTCGCAACTCGAGAATCTCATCTTATTTGCAGTTCGCACTTCTCTCTTCCCAGCTCTCCATGTTCACTGTTTGCAACGATTCACAGCCTCCTTGACTCACAATCTTCGTTCAACGCTTCTGGTTCTTTGCTCTGATTCTGGTTCGACACTTCTACAGCCTTCTGATTGCCCTAGCCCTTCACATGAAGCAGTTGTGTGTCACACAGACTTGTGACATAGACCTGTGACTACCCAGAAGCAGTCATATCTCTTCTTGACTTCATTTTTCTCTCTGATTCTGATTCGATGCTTCTCTGATTCTGGATTTCGACTGTTTGGACTGCGTTTTACCGCTGGCATTTCTTGTTACTCTGAGTTTATTTGTTGCTTTGATTATTGCAATATGGCAGAAGATAAGATGCAAGCTATTAGTATTCAATTAGATGCTCCCAGTGTTATTAAAAGCGATAAGTGCACCAAGACGCCAAGGTCTCTTGAGGCCTTAGGCGCAAGGCGCAAGGTGCAAGGCGAGGCGCGGGCCTTATCGAAGTAAGGCGCACCATGGCAAGTTAAAATAATATAATTTAATATGAGACATATAAGCAAATAACTAACTGGTATAACATAAACAAAATGCAATATTGAACATTTTAAAAAATAAATACCAACAAATATCGCTATTTTAACATAGACAAATGAGTATAAGCATGCATTTCAAAACATAAAATGCGAATATCCATGATCTAAAGGTCAACTAATAACAATATTTCAAGTTTAAGCATGCATTTCAAAACATCAACAAATTAAACCAACAAGAAAAAAAGAAAAAAAAAAAGCCCTCAAGGCCTGCGCCTTGGGCTTAAATGCGCCTAGCTCGAGTCGTGCGCTTTAATCACGCCTTAGTGAAATCGCCTCGCCTTGACCACTGCAAGGCGCAAGGGGTGGGCATGGCTGGGCTTTGCGCCTAGGCGCGCTTTTAATAACACTGGATGGTAGCAATTACTCTTTTATTTGTCTAATGTGATGAAGAATTTTATGATGGGTAAAGGCATGTGGGGTTATATTGTTGGTATGACTGTTAGACCTAGAGAATCCAAAGAAACTGAAACTGAAATTGCCAAATGGGATAAGGAGAATGCACAAATTCTTACCTGGTTTCGTAATTCGGTTCAACCTAGCATTGGGATGAATTTTTCTAAATATAACACAGCCAAGGAGGTTTGGGACCATCTGAAAACTATGTATCTTGAGTCTAATTTTGCAAAACAGTATGAACTTGAGATGTCTACCTGCAGTGCCATTCAATGAAATAACAACATACTTGAGATGTCTATCTGCAGTGCCATTCACTGAAATGACAACCTACTGGGATCAACTTGTTTTAATGGAGCTTGCATATTTGCAACTACTTGACAATTACACGAAGTATAGGGAGAAACAGCGGCTTGTCCAGTTTTTGATGGCTCTTCATGATCAGTTTGAGTCCCTTCATGGGGCTATTCTACTTCGGAGTCCTTTGCCTTCTGTGGATGCTGCTGTTCGGGAGCTTATTGCTGGAGAAACTAGATTCAAAGTCGCCCATGTTGCCTCTCTGTCTCAGTCTGTGTTTGCAGCTCCTCCACTCTTACCCACTCGTCCCTCTCAGTTGGTTTAGGTTACTGGCAAACCTAAACCTCATGTTGCTATGGATGAGTTCAGCTTTTGTCATCACAAAGCATACATGCTCTAAGCTTTTGCAACCTAAGGGCCGTGGGTTTCCTCACTCATCCTCTCACCCCTCGCCACAGCTGTCTTGCTCTAACACAGCACTGGCCACCCCTGTTTCTAGCACTAGTTCCTCTCCTACCATGCAGTCCACGTTCGAGCAGTTTTAGTCATTCATGCTGGCCATTCAGAGGGACAATCCTCCCAGGCTTCTGCTATGACCACTACTCAGTTAGGTTTGCCTAGGTTTTCTCCCTCCGGAATAGTTAAAATTATATGAAGATATTTAAGAATGGGGAGAGAGAGAGAGAGAGAGAGAGAGAGAGAGAGAATATCCAAAATTTGGTTTTTCCTCTATAACCATATGTATTTATACTAAAAGAAAATAAGTGAATAAGTACAAAACTACCATTCATCTAACTTAATACTCCCTCTCAAATTGGTGTATATATATCTCTCATGCCCAACTTGCACACAATGGGATGAAAACCTTACTACCTAACATTTTAGTGAAAACATTGGCTAACTGATCTTCTGATTAAACAAAAGGCATACAATCACGCCACTACTTAATTTTTCCTTGATAAAATGTCTGTCAATCTCGACGTGCTTAGTCCTATCATGCTAGACTGAATTATGGGCGATGCTAATAGAGGCCTTATTATCACAATACAATGTCATTGGTCCACTATTTAAAAATTCTAAGTCAATCAATAAAACTTGAAGCCACATAAGCTCACAAATGACATTTGTTGTAGCCTGATATTTTGCTTCCGCACTCAACCTTACAACAACCGCTTGCTTCTTACTTCACCAAGTCACCAAATTTCCTCCTACAAAAGTACAATTAGCAGGAGTAGACCTCCTATCATCAACTGCACCAGCCCAATTTGCATCAACGAAGGCCTCCAACCTCGAATGACAATGATTGGAGAACAAGATCTCTTTTCTAGGCATTGATTTGAGGTATCTGAGGTTCCAATTAACTACATCCAAATGACCTGTTTCAAGGTCATGAATAAATTGGCCTACAACACCAACTCCATATGCAATATCTGGCCTAGTATGAGAAATATATATTAATCTCCCTACAAGCCTTTGATATCTTTCCTTATCCACATGATCTCCATCACTACTGCTAAGTTTGTGATTGGCCCCTCAATAGGGGAATCTATTGGTCTACATCCCAACATGCCTACTTCCTCAAGTAGATCTAAGATGTAGTTTCTTTGGGAGATAAAGATGCCCTTATTTGATCTAGCAATCTCAATCCCAAGGAAGTACCGTAAAGGCCCAAGGTCTTTGATTTCAAATTCCTTGGAAAGTCGAGCTTTAATTTGGGACATTTCCTCTATGTTACCAGGCACCACTATGTCATCGACATAAACAACAAGTATAGTAATTTTATCTCCACACCATTAAACGAACATAGTATGATCAACACGACTTTGCTTGTATTCAAATCTTAGCAGCGCCTTAAGAACTTGTTAAACCAAGCT